CACACGGGAGAGAAACCGTATAAGTGCGATCTGTGTGATGCTACCTTCACAGGATCGGGTGCTGTGAAGACACACATGAGAACTCACACGGGAGAGAAACCGTATAAGTGCGATCTGTGTGATGCCGTCTTCACACAATCATGTGGTGTGAAGAAACACATGAGAACTCACACGGGAGAGAAACCGTATAAGTGCGATCTGTGTGAAGCTGCCTTCTCATGTCTGGGTAATATGAAGAAACACGTGAGAACGCACACGGGAGAGAAACCGTATAAGTGTGATCTGTGTGAAGCTGCATTCTCACAATCAGGTCATGTGAAGATACACATGAGAACTCACACGGGAGAGAAACCATATAAGTGCGATCTGTGTGATGCTGCCTTCTCAGGTTCGGGTCACCTGAAGACACACATGAGAACTCACACGGGAGAGAAACCATATAAGTGCGATCTGTGTGATGCTGCCTTCTCGCATTCGTGTGCTGTGAAGAGACACATGAGAACTCACACTGGATAGAAACCATATAAGTGTGATCTGTGTGATGCTGCCTTCTCCTGTCTGTGTCATGTGAAAACACACATGAGAATCCACACGAAGGGAACAATCATTCAAATCTAACATTAAAAGTTTCGCTTTCGCTCTGAAGACACCCTATGATCGCACATGAGATGTAAGAAGAAAGTACATCTCGAACCTTGAGACCCACATGTAAGAGCAGCTTGGCTCTGTGAACACGCGAGCGCACCGCACACATCGATCTGGGGCAGTGTGGAATCCCAACGAATACAACTCAACTGCCACAGCTTCTGCCAGGGTGGAGGCTGAACTACACATTGCTTGTGAATGCTCTGAAACCGATTAAGTTACAGTGACATCATCGTGCTTTTAATGTGTTTTTAATGAGTACCCAATGTGTGAGCATTAAACAAATGTGTAACCTTTGTCTAAAATGTAACTAATACCATTTTTGAATAACCATATGTTTGAACAATGTTCTAATAAAACAACGTATAGCCTGTATTATTACTTGCAATTTTGATGTTTGTCATCGAGTATGATATATGAAGGATACAGAGGGAAGTAGGGAGGATTAAAACAATAAAAACGAGGACGTGTATTGGAATGATAATTCTACTGACAGAGTGGGCGAGGAAGGAGAGAGGCAGAGCAAGTGAGATAGCGAGATGCGAGAAATGCACAAAATGTTGATGTTTTATTAATATCAAAATATATGTGTGTAGACATTTACACATAATTAACATTTAAATAACGGCTTATAATAATTTCGAACACAGGCGTATTTATTGATATATGTCCTACTCATTCAATCATTAACTTGTGTCTAAAATGTAACTAATACCATTTGTGAATAACCTTATAATATGTTTGAACACTGATCTAATAAAACAACGTATACACTGTTATTATTTGTAATTTTGATGTTTGTCATCGAGTATGAAGGATACAGAGGGAAGTAGCGAGGGATACAGCAATGAAAACGAGGACGTGAGTTGGGATGAAAATTGTATTGACAGAGGGCGCAAATAATTGAGATAGAGAGATGCGAGAAACGAGGCAAATCGAATTTATATTCGTTAGCTGTAAATCAAAGAGAAAACTCATGATATAGTTACCAGTTGATGTTTTGTTAATTTTAAAATATATGCTTGTAAGCATTTACACATAGTTAACATTGAAACAACGGATAATTTCTAACACCGACGTGTTCATTTATATATGTCATAGAAATTCAGTAGCACGTATAGCATATCACACGATTTCAGTCGTGGGCGAATGCTCACGCTCCCTCCATATGACTTTAATTAGTCATATTAATTGTTAATTATTCATAGATGTCGCGAATGCAATTGCCGTGTGTTGTTGAAATTTACGAGAGTAGAGCTGGGTTGGATTTTTCACATATTTGTGTGACAAATGCGCCCGGTGGTGTAGCACTTGTCTCTATACTCCGTTAAAATGAGGTAATAGATCTAGAACGATGCGAAAAGATAGGGAGCCGGTCTATGCCACGGAGCTGTATTAAATTTACTTGTATCAGACACGTGCTTTTATGCACACTACTACTCGGTTTACGCTCAACCTCGAGGTTAGCAGAATTGGTGTATTTGCCAGTATATGGCGTCCCAATGCAGCAGACGTGAAGGAACATGATACAACAACCAATCTAAAACACCTAGAACGTTTCGGCGCGTACGCAACATTTTTACTCGTACTAAGTGATAATATAATGAAAGTAGACTTCACACGAAACCTTTCGCACCGACATGTCATGCATTTTGCTTGCTATTCCATCGGCTCCAATTCCAACATGGCTACATAATAATTTTATCAGTAGAGTTGCGTAATATTTGTCTAAAACCAACATAACTAACGATTAACGCGTTTCCCAGACGTATACGTGTACAATGCAGAACAGTACGCGTTAGTACTGTTTTAGTAACTGCTTTGTTCATGAAGCGACACAATGATTGGACACAGGCTGGAAGGCTACGAGTAATATATATATTTTATTCCAAGTATGATATGATATATATGACGTACGGTGTCGGTTATTTTATTCAATAGAGAGAGAAAGAGAAATTAATTAAAAATGATTACACACCACACACACGCACACACACACACACACACACACACACACACACACGCGCGCGCACACACACACACACGCACGCACACACGCAGGCACACACGCGCGCGCACGCACGCACACGCACGCACACACGCACACACACATTACAAACATCCTTCCCACACAGCACACCAACACACACACAACACACACACACGACACACCACACTACACACAACTACACTAATATACATATATCACGTGAATTGGCAGTAGGCGAGATATAGGACATTAATTCGAATTTTGTGACTGTTCAGTAAAATTATCATTTTGTGTCCCAGCCTCGCCTGAATATAAGCCGTGCACCATGGCCAAAGAACGCAGAACGGCGGTAGGAATGCGCTAGGTGCGCAGTCAAATGACCCACAGCCTTTTCTGATAAGAAATGCGTGCAGGGGTTGCGCATCTGGGCGTGTACCAGGAATTTGTACAGGGGGTGGTGGGGTTAACGTAACCGCTAAACTTGCAATGCACGGCAAAGGGTGGGGTTGAATTTTTTTTAATTAGACTCCCTCAGAATGCGTTCTGCGGCGAGCAGGTGGGGTTCCGGACCCCTTGGACCCGCCCCAACCCCCTGTTACACGCCCTCTGCGCTATGCCGGTCGTGCTGTTGCGACTCGCACAGCCATGCGTCTGGCATGCGCGTCAATCGCCTGCTGTGGTGTACGGTAGCAGACGGCCTCGCGGATTGACGCCCCGTGTGTATAGCGTGTAACACCCGCCTGTGTCGCGGTCGTGAGAACCCTCGGCGGGACAGTGGTGATATCAGCTATCGCATCACGGACATCAATTAGGCAGCTTCACACTGGCTGGGAATTAGCGCGGAATGCAAATCTCGGTTTTTGCATCGCGGATTACAGATTAGATCGAAATACAAGAGATTTTACAGTTGTGTAACGCAAAAATTCATCACGGATCTCGCGACCATCAGCATCGCGCGCAAACTCGCACTTTTGTACTGTCGCCGCATATTTTGGGAAGTAGTCGATTAATGTGACGCAGCGTGTGGTGAACGCTCGCGCAAATATCCCCGGTATTTTGTATCCCATCATACGATGTGTTTACGTAAAATACGTGCGAGACGTAGAGTTATCCGTACGTTAAACGCTATCAGAGCCTAGAAGTAGCATACGTTAAGTAACAGAAGCTAGAGTACGTACGGTTAACGTAACAGAGCTAGAGTTTCGTTACGCTTAACGTAAACAGAGCTAGTAGCATACGTAACGTAACATGAGCTAAGAGTAGCATACGTTAACGTAACAGAGCTAGATAGCATACGTTAACCGTATCAGAGCATAGAGGTCAGCATACGTTGACGTGCTACACAGCTACGAGTAGATTACTGTATAACGTAACAGTAGCTAGAGTAGCATACGTTATCGTAACAGAGACTAGGAGTTAGCATACATTAACGTACAGAGCTAGAGTAGCATACGTTAACGTAACAGGAGCTAGTAGTAGCATCCGTTAACGTACTACGAGCTAGAGTAGCATACGTTAATCTGTAACAGAGCTAAGAGAGTTAGACA